AGAGGCTCTTTTTGCCGGCTGTTTTCTGCATCCTTTTTTCTTTTTGCATGCCAGATTTCCAACAAATGCTCGCTTTAAATAAGGTGGGTTTATTTCCTGTGCTGTAGTTTCTTGGTAGGATAGCTGTTAACTGGGGGCTCCCGGTGGCAATGTTTGTGCACTCAACTTTATTTAGCCAATTTGGTGTGCAACCAGCCAGCTCTGATGACTGGTATTAGATGCTGTCTGGTAACTTTCTAGTTGCCCTTACAAAATACAAATACAGCTTTGATCAACACGCAGAAAGTTCAGGATAAAATGTGAGGATAAAATGGATAGGAAGAGGATTGTGTGAGCTGCCTTATAATAAACTAAGAAGAAGCAGGTTGTGGCGTAAGGGGGGGGGTAGGTGAGCGGGGAGAAAGAGCAGGCCTGACCGTGCAGTCACGGTGGCTGTATGCTCAGAGTCCCACAACAGGATGATAGTATTTACAAACGTTCACATTATATGTTTCATTATATGCCACCTATTTTCCACTTCCCAAGGCTCCATCTGCTTCCTCTCCATTTTGTCCTCACAACAGCCCTGTGAGGTAGCTTAGGCTGAGAGTCAGTGCCTGGCCCAGTGAGTTTTGCGGCCAGGTAGGGACTAGATCTCCCAAGTCGCAGTCCAACACTCCAACCGCGATGCCACACTGATGACCAGAGCTATTTATTTATTTTGAGTTCTGTCCCGCCTTTTTTCTTACAAAGTGGCTCTTCCTGTTGCTCTCTGTCTTATCCCCACAACAACAACCCTGCAAGGTAGGTTGGGCTGAGAGTCTGTGGCTGGCCCAGAGCCCATGGCTGAGCGGGGACTAGAACCTGGATCCCCTGAGTCCCAGCCTCACACTCTCAACCACGACACCAACACTGGTCTCAGTTTTGAATGTCTTGCACAGCCCTTTCCACCTATTCCATGTTGGGACTGGGACTGTGCAGAAAGCGGGACTTCATCAGTTTGGGGGTTTTCCCCCTCCTCTGTTGCCCTCCTCACTCCACTGACCTTTTATACCATTTTATCCCATGAGAGATCTTGACATTTCAAATGCTTGCACATTCTGCATGATCTTTTGTGATCTTTTGCTTGACCCAATCAAGGATCCCAACGGGGGTTTTGCACAGACCTGGCCTGCAGGAATTTTTGTAAGCAGCCTTTCTCTATCTTGTGCTCTCCTGGTATGTTGACCTGTGGGTCCCATCATGGAATAGCCATATTGGATGGGAAAGATGGGAGTTGTAGTCCAACACATTCAGAAGGCACCAGGTGGAAGAAGAATGCTTTATAGTTTTCCTTGACCAAAAATGAAATTGGCTTACCTGTAGAAGATATATCAAGGAAATGATTTCTTCAGGTTTAGATGTAGCTGCAGTACCTTCTGGAACTATGGACCTAGCTGATACATTTACTAATCAGCTATATATAGAAAACCGATTAAAAATTTTATGTTAAATGGAAAGCCTATTATATATCCTTTATTTAGCAACTGAGAGTGTTACTCTTATTATATATACAATGATTAAATTAATATAATTGCTTTATGATTTAACTTTTTAATTATGATACTGTTTTATTTGGGGGGGAAGGAAAAATCAATTATTAGTTATTGATGCATTTGTGGAAATGTGGTAAGGTGAATTATTATTTACTTGATACTTACATTAAAGTCTTTTTTGTAAAAACCAAATATTATTAAGTCAAAATTATAGTTATAAAAATTGATAGAAGTAATAATAATTATTCACTTTGGTGCAAATTCCCACACTTAGCACTGAATGTAAAGTCCCTTTGTATCTTTTTCTTTCTTTTTCATGTATTTTTCCTTTTTTTTTCCTTTTTTTGTGTATAAAAATAAAGGAAAGGAAAAAAATACTTCCTGGAGATAATGCTGCCTTGCATAAGGTGCTTCTCGGTCATGTGCAGGATTCTTGCCCAGATATTTAACAGGATCATTCACTCCTGATCATTAAAGGGATGTTGCCAAGACTTGAACATGGGTTGCTCTGCCTGCAAAATGAGTCCTTGGAGGCTTCTGTGAACAAAGCATTGATTATGTTTCCTCACTCATGGTAGTTTGTGGGTGATTAGCACATCTGTCATCCTCCAGCGCCTGTCTGGTGTTGTACAAGCATTTCTGCACCATTTTTTTAGAGCAGAGAAAGTGCATTACCTGAAACAGAAACCTACAGATGCCATGGAAAAATAGGCGGCATATAGATGCTTAAATAAATAAATAGATTCGTGTGTGTTTCAGCTGTTC